GGGCTGATGGGCTGGATCCATGAATTGACTCATAGTATTACTTCAATTCTCAGTCAATCAGAGATCTACTCCAGGAACTACTACTCCCCGCCTATTTAAGTGGGACGATGACACGGAATACTTCAGAGACACTTTTCACCTGTTCGGTATCACTGAGCAGACCGTTACGGAGACTCTCCAACACAGCTCAGCCGTCACAGCTCATGCCTACACGCATGATCAGAGTGATGGAAGCCCACCAAATGGTCCACATCATGAACCGTAAAACGGTTCGCGTCACAGCTGAAGACGAACAATATAGATTCCAGTCGGCGTTCTACAATCCCCCTCCGTGGTCGGACGAACCTAGTTCGTACATCCAGACTTTACGCTGGTGGCGCGAGAACTACTCCGACGCGTTGCTAATAAGAAGAACAGACGACTATCTTGAGGTTTCTCGCTTCGATAGGGTACAACAGGAACACGCTCGCGGGTACCCTCCAACTGCACCAGAGCAGCCGTCGCAACGACCCGCAACAACGATAACTATTCCAAAGCTGTTCCCCAGGCAACTATCTCCCGCTCGCCCGGAGGCTGCTGGACCACGGTCCAACACTCCTCCGAATCCACCTGAACCACACTCGGGAGCAACGAAGCGAAAGCGTACCCTCGCCATCATGCCACAAGAAGTCGCGGCACCACCAGCGAAGTCCCGCCGTAGTCCAACCCGTCGCTCCCCTAGTCGCAGCCCTCATAGAGGACGAGCACCATCACGTAGTCCTCCACGTCGCTCGCCTACTCGCGGCTCCTACGGGAGACGAACACCGCCACGCAGTCCACCGCGTCAGGCCCCTAGTCATGGCTCTCAGGGGAGACAGGCACCACGCCAACCTCCCGCTCACCGCTCTCGCTCCAGGTTCCCCGTGCGCGAAGTGCCTTCGGAGAGACATGGAAAGGTGGAACCTTGCACCTTCTGCAGGCAGATGGGCCATTATTCATCGGATTGCGATGCCTACCCCTATCTTTCCACGCGGCTAGACATAGCCAAGAGAAGGGGAATTTGCAGCAACTGCCTCAAGGTTCACTGGGCCTCGTGCCTCCGCAGAGACCCTTGCAGTTTGTGCGAGGAGGAAGGGCATCATAGATCGTTCTGCGTGCTCAATCCGTTCGCCATCAACGATCTGGGCAACATGCCGCCGGACGAACTCTACGAGATGCTCAGCTACCACACTTACGTACCACCGCCCGAAGGAGGCGTTCCTCGCCGACGATACGACCGACCTCTCCGAGACCGGTACAGGACACAGGACGCCGACCGCCCGGGACCTTCTCGCCAGCCGGCACGTGAGAGAGTGCGAGAGCCTTCGCCACGACCTTCTGCCTCGGAATTGGCTAGGGATATGGGGTTCTCCCCGGACGTCAGCGACGACTCGTATTAGTCCAACATCCCGCGTACTCCATCCTTATAGTTCATTCGTTTCCCCCTTTAATCCAAAGACGACCGTGGCCGACGTAATTATGGTGTACGATTATCGACTGACGCAGCAGGTAAGTGATTATGTGTTTCCTTAATTGTTCATTTAGGACAGTCGACCGCCGCGCCATCTTGTCTACCACCATTATTACTTCGCCAATGGTATTTCGTCATAGTTCACAAAAAAGGCTTCAGTTTTACATTTGTATTTACTCCTTTTTCTAACCACTTGTTTTGTTATCTCACTTACTCACTTCAGGCTTTACGTTACTTGCAGCTTAACGCCGACGTCGGTTCTTACGACACTCAATTATGACAATAGTTCACTTTGGGAACTCTATCCCTAAGTTTACTTTCATTTCCATTTGCTTTACTTCTTGAGTGTATTCTTTAGTTCCAGATCCGACACACGCGACTACTTCAAGTATATATCCGCTGCTATTTACGACGCCACATTATAACCGTACTACATTATTCTTCGTTACTACCAATTTGTTACTGTTATGTTATCATTACTAATCTCATGAAGTTATAATTTTGCCTCCTGTTACTAACCTCATTATTACGCCGGTATACTAGATCCTCGTGTTTACTTGAAGTGCTTTACCATGCTATCTCGTTGTTACTAATCCATTACCTCACTTATCTAGTTTTGTTGCTAATTAGTGCCTTTTGTTTCTTGTTTAGTTAAGTGCAATAAGTTCCATTTATAGTAGCGCTAGCTCATTATGGGAGTCGAGCCCTCTCTCTAACTGAGCTACGAGACCAAGGCTTTTACTTTTTTCCTTTGGCGTCAAGCCGGGTTTTGGCAGCACACCGTGCGCTCGGCCTGCAGTCGGGGGGCTCAGGCTTAGGCCCAATGAGGGATTCTTTTGGGGCGGGAGTGTCGCGGATCGCGAGGATCGCTCCCGAGGGAAATCCCTCAGGGTGCGCCGGTGCTCACGTGTAACCGTCGCCATGACCAACTATGATCTATCCGTGATCGCACGATCGAAGTGCGGCGCCTATAAAAGGGCATCATCACGGCCTCCCGGGTTAGTTCATCATCTGTCTAGCTACGATGCGGTTGTCTTACGACTATTCCATATTCCCCACGGTTCGTAGCGGACTTACGTCAGAGGAGTCGGCTAATCTTCTGAGGCACCTCATATGTATATAATGGCAACTTGCAGATTAGGAATACTATCTGAAAATTCTTTTCCTTGTTCAAAGGTGCGTAACAGGAGCTGAGACGACTCGGCTGGATTCTCGTGCGACAGCGTGAGGATTGGGTTTCTAATATATGAGTCTCTATCCTCGCCGCAGATCTTCTCAGCTAATTCATGCACGTATGAGATCTCTCTTGACATAACACATATAGACTGCTAATCGTCCACACATATTACACTCCAAGAGACACTAATATGAATTCAGTCTTTTCTGTATTTTGGTATAAAGGGTATAACGCATCAATTTAGCTTCAATGTTATGGCTATCATCGTGTCAGTAAACTTGCAGTGAGAGTGAAAGTCCATCTTCGTTATGGTTAGATTAGGAGCAATGTACTAAGGCTGAAGATCAGGTCGCATAGGATACGTACGACCCTGGCCAGGTCGGACGTGGGACGGCTCCCTGATAGATTAGTTTCACGATCCCTGCGGTGAACCCTGTGCGTGTGGCCCCAGGCGACACCGATCCGCAACAGCGTGTGTTATTGCGTTGCATGCGGAGGACGACTGGCTGGCCAAATCCCGCTGAGACTGCCATTTTTGATTGTCCTGTCACATACCCGAGGTTACCATAGTCGAGCGAGCGTCGCTGAATCCGCGATGAGGTGGCCGTTCGTGCCGTAGCGAAATGATGATGGTCTCAAATGTGCAGAGGTGAGTGATTAGTTGAGCAGAGACAAGATTCGTGCTAATGGGAAGCACTGTCGTCGCCGTGGAAATCACCTATCCCGACTTTTGACAAATGACCAGTGTGCTTCAGGCAGTTTAACCTCAGTGCAAAAATCAAAGTCATCTAAGGATATCATCCCGAATTGCCTTCCTACTGTATTCGTTCTCTTGTTTTCATTTGTGATTGAATGCGCCGAGCCCATCTGTAGCTCCCACCATAGTCCTTTCACGGTGTTTTTTTCAATAGTTTTTATGGCACACCTCGAGTGTATGGAAATAAATAAATAAATAAAATAAATAAATAAATGATACATGGGCACCCGGAGAGTGGACAAACTTCGGATCTTTCCGGTTGTGCCGACGTTGCGTATCTCACACTTTTAATGATGGCGCGGTATGGCCCACTGAACTCGCGGGGAATGTGACGGTAGAACCAGTGGCGTCGCGCACGACAATTACAAAAACCGCATGGTTATGAACGGCGCACGCTCGCTATGGTTTTGTTATCGCGACAATTATATTTCGCTGCTAATTTTCTCATAAGACAGTCCGCCGTACCTCAACAATGCTAGGATAAGTACAGTTACTGAGAGTATGCAACATGACTGTCAAGTGATTGGGAGACCACCAGCTAATAAGCTAAAATAACTGGTTAGTAGAACCTGTGCAGGTTTCCCTGCACTGAAATTGCTATTTACTCACTTGTTATTCAAATAAAGCCTACCGGTCATGACAATCAAGCCCCTGTCAGTGTGCAGAGCATAAATGAAAACTGAAAGAAACACAATCTGTTCCAATGAAGCAATAAGTTCAACCTGTAAAATTTACAAACACCGCAGCGCACGCTCCAAGCCCGCGGTGTTTGCAGATTGCCGCGCACACCACATCGCGTGGTCTCAAAAACATCTTCCAAGCTCGCTACTCTTTCATTCGACACATATCAAGGCAGGGCACATCGTTGTTGGGGATTCCCCAACAGGAAAGGGGAAGGGGTCGTATTTGGCCGCTTTGAGAGGGGGAGGTCGTAATGAGTGGGGCAGGCAGTAACGAGCAGCGCAAAGGTGTCAGTGTGCTGAGTTCCTGTTTAGCGAAAGTTGCTTTGCAGAAAACCCGGATACGTAAAAAAAGAGCCGGCTTCGCCGGCTCACGCCAGCGCGCCTCCTTCTGAGATATATGTATACAGCCGGAAAGGGGCGATAAATATACTGGTGAGGCCCCCGCCTCCAATCGTCCCCCGCCTCCTAGGCAGACCGCATGAGTTGGGTGAGGTTTGCAAAACGCCGGCACCAACGGTGCTACTGTGCATCATCGTTGTCATGACAGAGGGTCATGACACTCTACACAACGACAAAATTGTGTCTACACGTGAATCTTGCCTTTGGCATCCTCCGCGCCAGCAAGTTGGAAAGAAAGTATTGTCAGCTTAATCGGTAGTGTGGATTCGAGTCAAGGTGGGTAGCAGTCGTAGGGGACTACGTCAGGAGAATATCATGAATGAGGACTGGCCCTCGAGCTTTGCTCCTCAATTATTTGGAGGTCTTCATAGCAGGTATAGGGTCTTGTGTACTACGAACATTCTTCTCCAACAGTTTTCACTCGCTTCGGACCGAGCGACACAAACTGTGGCGGTGATCGTGTGTTCTTACAGGGCAGCTCGTTCTGCAGCATCTCTCTCGCGGAGCAGCACAGGAGAACCTTCTCGGAATACATGCCCGGTTTGGACTGCTAGAATGGATCTTCTCCTTGAGAGAGACAAACGGTACTGTGTGGGTTGAAATCATAGAGGACCCATCTCTCATCCCCACTAAGCAGTCTCCCGGAAACTCCTTCTGACGAGGGCAGAGAAGGGGAGACTGACCAAGGGGTACCCGGGTGCACAGCGTGCCATCGGTCAAGGTATGAGTGATCCATCGAGCCAGTACTTTTTGGTAGTCAAGGCTTACAGGCGGTGGACGACTGTCAGTTAGGTACATCCGAGTCTTGTCGCAAGACTGCGGGTGGTAGCCTCTGGATCCCCTTGTCTGCTTCGAGAATGGTGGAGTCTTCCACTTCGTGGGGCCGTCCCAACCGAGGTTTGTCTTCAAGGGTCGTCTTTCGCGAAGCGAGCGAACCAAAGGTGGACAGTCATGATGGTAGTGGTGTCCTCCGCCAATGCACTGCTGATGTTGCGGACAGCTGCCGCTGCTCCAGTGCCGCGGGGCCACTGATAGAACATGATGACCCGAAGATGCTCCTGTGAAACTGACATCGTAATTAAACCCAGGGAAGAGCAGGCGCCCTCACACGCCTCTTGCAGGAAAGCTCCCAGAGTGTCCTACAAGCATAGCATGTTACGTCATGTACGAGCATCGAGAATCAAAAACTGTAAGCTTTTCAAAAAACACTGACAGGACTTTCCTTT